AAGTACGACAAACAAACCGGACACGGTTTCAACTCACCACGAGAACAGGTCAGTCAGCCTGCTGCCACTGTAAACTTCTGTTTTTGTGCAAAATTTATCAGTTCCAAAGCAAGGTTCCTTCAACAGCTCATTCTCTGTTGATTATTTCGCAGCATACACTCGAATGAAGCATATCTAAATCACCACCTCATTGGGCATATCGCATCCAAGAGGGATGCTATTGTTTCCGTTTTTTGCCGATTTTATCGTATCTACATAGAAAAACAACAACGGATTGTGTTCCTTAGCACGATCGAAAAATTATTTCGCTTGCGATTAGTCGATAATTCCCACCCAATGTCACACATTTGTGTGTTGCTGTTTTTCATTGTGTTCATAAATCCACCTTTCGTCTCTCTCTTCTTATGAAACAACGATCATGAAAATCTGCCACGAGCAGTTGTCATCACTTCAAACAAATCCTAAAGTTAATGTTGATTCGATTATGGTGATGATGATAGTGATGAATGAACACGATCAGCCATCAGCACATTCGATTAGTCTAATCGACGCGAAGAAGACACATTTTCTGATCTATTCAGAGAAATATTTTTTTCTGATCTACACTAGCAATTAGCGTCGATTACTTGCACTAATTAATTACACCACACTTTAAAACTGCTCCATTTTAAAGCAATTATTTGACGTTATCTGCATTAACTATCGCAGTTGGAGTTGAAAAACCATGTGAAAAAACCCAAAGCGATGGAGAGAAGCAAGAAATTCGAAAATTTCAAATTTCTCACTGAAAATGGGAACAGTTGAATGTTGAACAGAAAAAATCTCGTGCAAATTATATGATGAAATTGGAAAAAGTTGAAATTTCGTTCATCAATCGTTTGAATTCATTATGGGGGCTTGAAGGCTTTTTGATTTCGTTTCATCAGTCATACTTGCGTTGAAACTTCATTAAGTTAGAGTTCGCTCCATTCATATTGAATATTTATGCTGATTATCGTTTCGATTTATATTGATTATCTGCTGCACGTTGAAGTAGTACTCTACTGGCGTTTGATTCACCGAACGATTTTTTGCAACCTTTAAAGTCGACTTTGCAATTAATTTTATCGCACCCAAAATCATTGCACATTACTTTTCAACAGTCTAAATTGGGCAATGTCAATGCCGAAAAAATGAGACTGAGAAGAGACGACAACTATCAAAAAGGCAATCAGTTCATTAATCTTTTCTGAATTCATTTATTCATTGCAACATTCCTTACAACATATTGCAACATGAATTCCGGAATGCAGTGATTTCATTTTGTTGATCATGTGAGAACAGCATGGAGACCAGTAGGACAATGTCGTGACTTTGAAGAACAATCCTTTCAACTAGACTGCTGTCAATTTGGTTGCGTTTGAAACCTGATATTGCATGAAACACTCGCAAATTATAGGGGGTCGATATCCTGACTAAGCAGTTGTCACTTGATCTACTGGATTGCATTTATGCATTAAGTTTCGCTGGTTTACGTTCTTCGAATACATTCAGGTGAATGAACGCACCAGCTGGAT